CTGTTTCTTATTACCTTTATTCATGTTCTGTTTTTTTCTCGTGAATGATTTTTTTCCCAGTACTGTCCTAGCAAAGTCCAACTTTTAACTTTATTGTCTTGATAGCATTCCCCAGTTCTTGATATCCTTGTCTTTGGTTAAACTTTGGATAGCAATATATTGGATTGGTCATTGTCATTATTTTAATACTAATTCTGTTAGTGGTTTAGATGCATTTGCTCATGTTTAAGCATCGGCTTACGTGACAAATGTGAACGGCAGCAACTGTAAACTGAAATGTTGACAACTTTTAACCATTAAGGTGTCTACCCACCTTAAGTTCTAAAATAGAATGCAGGGGAGTAAGACTGAATATACCCTTTCATTTGTATAATAATTGAATTGCGTGGAAAATACCCAACTGTACTTCATTCCTATCTGTCTAAGCTTGTAAAGTTGTGTATCGCACAAAGTGATCTGATTTTTGGACCGGATAATTAATTCATTATGGTAAAGCTCAGATAATAAGGCACGATTTCCTTCTAAACACTCCTCTTCTCCTTTTCCTTTTCAGATACATCTATTGCCTGACGGTAGCGTCCGTGTCTACTCGCGAAATCAGGAAGACAATACCTCAAAGTATCCGGACATTGTAAATAGCCTTGTCGCCTGTGTTGTTGAGGCTGCCACTCTCTCTTCTGATGCCCGAAAACTTCTACTCTCAATTGCAGACGAAGATGCAAAGCTTCCAATGAAGGGTGAGGGGGAAGAGAATGAACCTGTCACTTCTTTCATAATTGACTCAGAAGCTGTCGCTTGGGATGTCGATGCTCAACAAATCTTGCCTTTTCAAGTTCTCAGTACTCGAAAGAGAAAGGTATGGAGATTCGGTGGTGTTCTAGTTTAGCATTGCCCAGAATTTGCTCTTTCTCTTATCAATTTGCTTAGAATTTCCTCGAAATAAGTCGACCATTAGAATACGGTAGTATCGGAATTTGATCATGGTTTTAGCTACGATAATTCGAGTTTTTTTGTCTCTTATCATGTTAACTGCTTTGTTAGCATTGCTTTCGAATTATCATTTGAGCCTAACTGTGAAAATTAGTTCATGGCAAATTTCGATATTTTTTGAATATTTAAAGTGAAGTTTTGCTACCAGTTGCTCGTGTTCTTTCTAAATGTTATTTGCTTGTAGCATTATTGGTACTCTACTATCCACCATTCTAGACTGTAGTTTGCCATCAGCCAGTAGATTCTTCAGCATCTTCATGCCTGCATTCCTTCGTATTGAAGAGCTTATATCAATTCACTATGAGCTCATTATTGAATGGAATCATTTTGAGATAATTCCTTTTAATCAAGAACTCCTTCTCTAGGCCTTTCCAGACGAGAAGACTTGATGCAATGGGCCTATTTCAAAAGTAATCTTCATGCAACCTCACAAATAATGATTTTAGATGGAGGTATTACATGAGAACTTCCTTCTGTATGCATGCAAATTTTTTAATAGAGCTGTTCAGAAGCTAATAGTCAAGTTTGTTCACCAATAAATGGGTTACTGCTATTTAATAATGTGCTTGAAAAGAGATTTCTCTGGACAGCTAAGTGTTGGACCGATAATACTGGAAGCAGCACAGAATGAAAGATTGTGAGAAATTCGTGTGTCTAAAAAACTTTGAATTATCTAGTGGTAAAATCTTATAAATGTTGAAATTGTTTGGCGAAATATCCGAACTTTGGTATTGTGTGGAGCTTTGTTATACTATAACAAATTTTTCAAGACAGAAGTGAATGTACAATAAGTTGAATTTTTATGTTTCTTCTTAGGACGTTCAAGAAGAGGACGTGAAGGTTCGTGTTTGCATCTTCGCTTTTGATCTACTCTTCCTCAATGGCGTCTCACTGACAGAACAACCATTGAGGAAGCGACGTGAATTGCTCTGGTGCGTGTCGATCTTCTTTGTCATATGGAATAACGGACACCATCTCTTTGCGATACATCCGTCTATTTTCTTTACCTCCTTTACGCAGTTCCATTATACTAGTGTGTATTATATTATTTGAATGCGGTATTGCCTAGTTAAGCATATTCATGAGTTTAACGTACTACTGAGTGGCTAATTAGTAGCATGTTTATTTTACTTGTCATCTTCGCATGTATAGCAATTTATATTAGCTAACTGGCCTATCTGGTGCTATCTATATCTTTTTTATTTCGAGAAAGGCAGTTATTACTTAGACTTTCTCAAATTTGAAATTCGTCTTTTGTAAAACGAGTAAAAAATATGCGTTTGGCCACCTAACGTTTAAATACTAATACTTTGGGAGGTGAGATCATTTGAGTTTAAATAAAAACCTAATTTTTTGTGGAAACCTCTGGTTCTAAAATCTCCACTTTCAGTATATGCTGTCAATATACTCTTCTGAAACGTGGGTAGGCGTGGTTTCAATTCTCACTTCCTCGCCAGCAATAAACAATAGAACTATTAGGTTGGCAACTAAGTCATTGCCAATTTCAAATAAGAAGGCAAATTCGGAATTTTTGTTTAAAAATATAACTTTATTCAATTAGATATTGGCCGTTCTTGTCGATGACCTTTTTCCATCGTTCTGGCAGAGTAAAAATTCCCCGTTCGTAAAATGTCTGGTCTTTGCTATTAAAAAATTGAATTAGGTGTGATCCGACATCATCCGCGTTGTTAAAAATTTTACCATTTAAAGAGTTTTTGCATGGGCTATATGGTGGGTGTGACAAAACATCCCAACCCAGTTCCAATAATTTTTGCCGAGTAATCAAAGATGTGTGCGGGGGCCTTGTGTTATCATGATGGAAAACAACACCCTTCCGATTTGATAATGCCGGCCGCTTATCTTCAATTGCATCCATCCTTCAGTTTTTCCAGTTGTTCAACATACACATTTGAATTTATCGTTTGGTTCTGCGGCATGAGTTCAAAATACAAAATTCCTTTGTGATCCCCCCACCAGACTGACAGCATAATCTTTTTTTGGTGAATCTCTGCTTTTGATACTGTTTGGGCTGGTTGATCTTGCTTCACCCATGATCTCAGGCGAGTAACATTGTTATAAACTATCCACTTTTCGTCGCCAGTAACTGTTTAGGTTCTTCAGAAATGGATCATTCTCATTCTCATTGCGTTTCAGTAGCGGCGAATCACAGATGCTAATCCGTTGCGTCAAATGAATTTCCTTTAACTGGTGAGGGATCCATAAATCAAGTTTCTTGACATAACCAAGGGTTTTTAATTTGTTTTCAATGCATGTATGCGACACATTGAGCTTCTCTGCAATATCTCGTGTTGTGCTGTGACGATTTGAATCGATAATGGCCTTGATATGGGTTTCATCCACTTCGACTGGGTGGCCAGATCGTTGTGAATTTTTCAGTGAAAAATCACCGGAACGAAATCTTTCAAACCAATTTCGACACTGCCTTTCTTTTAAGGCTTCATCTCCATATACGGCACATAACTTCTTTTGTGCTTGCGATGCGTTCTTGCCTCTTCGGAAGTAATACAATAAAATGTGTCGGAAGTGCACGTCCTGTTCTTTCATTTTTAAATTGGGATAAAAACAAAACCAAAGAACTAAACAAAAAAATTTTTTACTAATTAACCTAGAAGCCCATCAGTAAGAAAAAATATAGGTTAGATGCTCTGGCCACGTTAACAAAACAAAAGAAAGTATAGTGAATCCGTCAACAAAAACGGCAATGACTTAGTTGCCAACCCAATAGTTCTGTTAACACATACAACCTACTCGCTTATATTCTTTTTTCTATTAGACGCAAAATCTGTTCAATGATGTTGAAAGTATTCTGTAAGATCCCTGCCAATTGCGTAATTTTCTATTGCTTTGCAGGATGGTCTTTCCGACTCTCCCCGGTAGATTCGTGTTTGCCACGTCCATGGACAGCTCAGATACGGATGAAATATCGCGTTTTATGAGTGAATCGGTCAAAGGTAAGTCCCACTTTCAAGGCGCTTTGCTCCCCCCCCCCTTCGCCAACCAATTCGTTCCCGATGGAGATAGCGCGGTGGAGAGGGGGGCTTGCCTATTCCCAATGGGGGATTTGCCTTTTCTTTAACTTTCTAAATCCACCAAGTTTTATGGAAATTGCGTGAAATTTTTACATAATTAGGTTGTTCCAAATAAATATAATGAGTGAAGAGGTTTAAATGTTGAGGAGTTGGAATATATTACTGTTGATCCACATCTACAATCATACAGTTAGGTATTAGTCCAATTTCGGTTAATATGGTAATACCGATGCGAGCTTATGTGCGGTAGGTTGTTTAAGTGATATCCGAGACTCCAGATAATTAATTTGCAAGTTTGTTTCGTTATCCATGGCATGGCGGAATTCGCTTGAAGGGATATTTCAGCTGTTAACCTCCCATTGAGGTGTTGAGATAGATGCTTTATTTTTTCAGGCAATTGTGAAGGTCTTATGGTTAAAACTCTCGACAAGGGAGCAACATATGAGATTGCTAAACGTTCAAGAAATTGGCTCAAGGTACGCCTGAACTTTATTGCACAATGTGGTCTTTGGTATTTGCCTAAACATCATTACTTTTTTTTCATGTTTTTACAGCTCAAAAAGGATTATCTTGAGGGAGTTGGCGACACTCTTGATCTCGTTGTAATTGGTGGTTTCCATGGCACTGGGAAACGAACTGGTCGATATGGTGGCTTTCTTCTCGCCTGTTATAACCCTGATGATGAAGAGTATCAGACAATTTGCAAAGTGAGCTTAAATAACTTAACTTTTATGACAGTGGGCCACTTATCGCTAAGTGTGAGAGAATTTAATCCATTTGCTGAGACTTATATTTGATTATAAAAAGTCTTAGGGTTAAATCGTCGTTTATTCTGCTTATTTTTAAATTATCAAACGAGTAAGGGGGGGCGGACTATGTATGATCCAATTGATGGTTATCAAACAATTAACTTATAGGGCAGTCCCAATTTGAGGCTATAGAATGAATATTTGATTTTGTCATATTATTATCTATTCCAGGTCAAATATGCTGTCGTTTTTTTTCCATTCTTGGAAGACAACTGGGGATTATAAGAGATGAGTGAAATGGGGAACAGGATGAAGTGATGAATAAGGCCAGAGTATCCAAATGATTTTATTTTTATTTGGTTGTTTTGCAATCGGGTTTCACAGTGTTCGCGTTGTGATCTTCAACGCATTTGTTTCAGATAGGCCGAGAGTGTGTGTGAGTGGTGTGTGAGACAGTGTGGTGTTTAAATAACGAATCTTGTTTTCTTTTGAGAGTATGCTAATATATTCAATCCAATTAATAGATAAATTGCTTGCAAACAATTGTTTGGCGAAAATGCAATGCTTTTAGTTGTTTTAGGTTTGGACTTTTCTTTTGAAGCAAAGTTTCAAAACTTATCTTGATAATAAGAATAGAACTAATTTACAAACCGATCTTAAATGTACAGTGGTATCGTCGTAGCGCCTCTCTTCTGGGAAACTCGAATTCTACCACCTACACTGGCCAGAATTGAGTAGTGTGTTTATTGGCGCCTCCTCATCTATGAACTGCTTTCTACAGTTTTATAGGCCCTAGAAGAGTTTTATTTTTCTTGGTCACGATAGTTAATTAGCTATAAAATTATTGCTTTAGAATTTTAATTCTATGTGCTTATTAGTGTACTTTATTGGAATGACATTATTAGCTTGTATGTGTTTTACTATTTTTTGCGTTCCTTTTAGGTCGGTACAGGTTTGAAAGACGAGGACCTGGCGAATTTGTCCGACTTCTTGAAGGATCACATTATCCCCTCAGCAAAGACCTACTATCAGTACGATAAGAGTCTCCAGCCCGATCACTGGTTTGAACCCGTGCAGGTGTGGGAGGTGAAGGCCGCTGACATCAGTATTTCACCTGCACATAAAGCTGCTGCTGGAATGGTAAGCGACTGATTACTTTCCTTTCATGACTTTAAAGTTCTCCTTGTCTTCTGCGTGAATGTCCCATTGCTTCCAGTTTAAATTCCTGAAGTATTAAGCGGCTTTTTTGCAGTTTGACCAACTTACTTCAGTGAAATGAGTTCTAAATCAGCTGTGCTCCCTTTGTCATGAGCTGTAACGAGGGGTATCGATCCTTCAATATGCTTTTTTCTTTCAGGCCGATCCAGAGAAGGGCCTTTCTTTGCGTTTCCCGCGATTCCTTCGTGTGCGTGAGGATAAGAAGCCCGAAGATGCCACCACAACTACTCAGGTTTATGAAATGTACTGCAATCAGGAGCAGGTCAAGAATGCTGACAAACAGCCGGCTGATGAGGAGGACTTTTACTGAGCGCCATCAGTCATCTGTACCTCTTCGGCTCCCATTTTCATCCTGTCCATATGTTATTTGTACGTCACATGTCTCCCCCCCCCCCCATTTAAATTATCGTCCCCTATTTTGCTATACAAAGAATAATTATGAATGTTTTATGAAGTATGATATGTTTTGTTGGTTATAATTTATGTTAGATATATTACATGATATCCCTAGCAGGCGTTTTGATTGTTATCAATAGCCCCTTTTATGACTTCGGGCTTCACATAGAGGAGGGGGAACATCAAAGTGACAAAAAAGTCGAGAGGGGGACTGAATAATGATTCATAGATGTAGAAGAGCCAGACAGGCAGAGAAAAGGCAAGATGAGCACTGTGAAAGTAGTCGAATATGACGTAGAGTGGATGATGGTAGTTTGAAGTCAGAAGTCACCTGCCGATTGATAGACTTTTTTGCCGTATGAATATACGTTGCCCAGGGTGCACCACGTGGAAGCAAGTCTATCGCACACCCCATATTCCGAATGATTGTTTATATGGTTCATTATGACCAAATATTGTATGCTTAATAACCTTTGAAGTTAGGAGTTAATTTAGTATTGGTTTTGCTGTCATTTCCTTTTATTTCATCTGTAACGGAAAATTTATAGTTTTGATTAAATGGGGAAAATAGATATGCAGATTTGATAAACTGAAAGAGGTCCCGTGTGATCAAAGAAAATTAAACTAATACAATTTTTTATTTAAAAGTAGTAAGTAGGGAATATTTATGATCTCTTAGTTTGACCACCTGTAGAGCCCCATTAAATTGGCTTTCCACCTTAATAAATAAGGTGTAGCTCATGCTTATTGCTGCTGGTTCTTGGGTGCCTCGCTATTAACTAATTTCTTTATTATATAGGGTAACTGAATTTAACTCTCCTCTTCTTGTTTAGGAAGTATTTCGAACTCAGAACCAAACAAATTGTAAAAGCTACTCACAAGCCCAACTCAAATAATGGTATTGTTTGGGACATTTGATTTGCTAATATTGACCACACATTTACCTATTGGCTGTAGCAGAAATTTCAAGGCCATATTATTGGAGTGGGCAGTACACTCTAGAACATCTATATATGATAGGTAAAAGTCACATAAACAAAACAGTTGTACTTTAACTCCTCCGTGTCCTCTGTTGATAATTAAATTGTTGGACTGTAGGGCTAACTATCAAAAGAAAATAATTCAAAAGCGAGGGATTCAGAGATTTATTTAGTTAATTTTGAAAGATGCATTAATGTTAACAAAAATCTTTTCCGAAACTATTTTTCTTGGAATATACCCCTCAGAAGCAAAAGCGTCACCTCATAGAATTGGTTTCTTGAAATTTCACTCCCCCCCCCCGCAATATCTGAGAGCTTAGTATGTCTATGCCAAGCTCTTATAATCGCCATCGTATTTAGTTGAAACAATTTATGAATGTCAAGTTAGGATTTCTTTAGATCAGCTGGCTCCAATTCTAATCTCGACCTTTAAACAAATCACTGTCATACTTATTTTTATTAAGTAGTAGGGCGTGTGTATTTTGGTCACAGATCAATAAGCCGCTACTACATTGCCAAATACACCTCTCCCCTCATCGACACTCTAGTTAAGTGGTGCGTGCATAGCCTACAATACACACCACACAGAAATACCAATTTCGGCTCGACATTTTAATCAGACCAGAACAAACTCGCAGCTGGCGCTGGCGTTTGACAGACGCACATGGTTCTGTTTATCAGAGACCATGCTAGCTGAATTTAAGGCGTTTGATAGGCCATTATTTTTGAAGAAGCATGACAATGTTACAAGACAAATAATACACCTATTAGTCTAAATCATGAAGAATAGTCAAGCTATTCAATAAATGGAAATGAGATGGATTTTATGTGGAGTAGATAATGCAGTCTTATTTCGTTTGTACGTTTGAATCTATCGAGTTATTCATCTTCTCATGAGCGACACAATTATTGTGCCGTGGTCCAATTTTAAGATTTGATTAGTAGGTTCCATTTAACTAAGAGTTGAGTTAGATGAGTGGTTGGTCATAAAGCTTCCATATTTTATAAACCTCCTTTTAAGAGTAGAGCCGTTGGATGAGCCTGGTGGACGTATTTGCTTCATTAAATGTGTAAACTGATAGTGTTTGATGAAATTTAGAAATCCCACTTTTTTAAACTGTTTCATGCGTCAAAATCGACGGAATTTATTCTTGCAGGAAATTCCATTTTGAAAGTGGCAAATTACAAATACGTTTAAGTACAAATGGCTAAAATAGCATTCGAATGTCCCACAGGAGAAATCAAGAATATATTTAAACAAAATTTGATTAGCTATGGTTCTTAGCATTGAGACCAGTTGGAATATCCGAGGTGAGAGTAAAATTCGTTCCCCAAAATCAGAGATTTCTCGTGACCTCCAGCGCTTATCCATTAGAATATTGGTTGGAGGTTAGTGGAAGATAATTTTTGATGGATCTTACATGGATGCCCTGTTTTGAGTGTTGAGAAAAGTAGTTTGGTTCGATTAGAATGCCTTCGGGAAATCCAAGAATTGCTGCTCAAATATTTATTAATTTCTTTAATCGACATTCGAATATGTTAAAATTAGCTTTCGATAACAAGACTAATGCTGACTAACCCGTTTTTCAGCCTAACAGGAAACAGGCAACCGAGATCTATAGCACTTTTATTATTAATAGTACAGTTTTCTATAAGAATAATAGTTAACAATGTCCTTCTTTTCATTTTACTAATCAATATAACCCACAGCCACTCAGTAAAATACCACAATTCTTCATTGTTGAAAAAGAAACAATAGACATGGATTAAAGTGCAAATAAAGAAGCAAACGAAGAAGATTATGAAAAAAATTTGGTTCAGTTTCAAGTTGTATGCTATTCACTTAATGCTAGTCTACCGACTCACTTTCCAGAAACTCAAGAGCTCTAATTAGATCCCACAATCACCAGAGCTTATTGATCGGTGGATTCGTCTTGGTGGTTGACCTTGTCAACTCAGATTCTTCCCCCCCCCCCGCCCTCCCTCCCTCCTTCCACTGATTGTAAAGCACCTTGATGTTGTATGGTCATAACCAGTTCACCTGATCTTAGTGCAACTCTCAGAGTAGTTATCATAATAACTCCTTTAGTCTATGGGAGCAAATCATTTTTTTAGATATAATTTACTATAATCAGACTTTTAAGGACCAAACATTCCGCAACTATGACGATGAGAAAGGAGCTATCAATTTGGTGGACAAATTTTGGTAGCTCAAAAAGACACTTAATTTGCTAAGGTATCAATTTAATTTCTGAATGGCGTAATTATAAAGAATGTCTGCAAACGGTATAAAGTGCTGTTTTTACACCAAACTGCCATCATTTATTTATATCAAATGGCAGGCGTTTTGACAGTTATCATTAGCCCTTTAGTTGACTTCAGGCTTCACAGAGGGGATGGAACATCAAAGTGAAAAAGTCGAGTTGGTTGGGGGGAACAGAATAGTGTTTCAGAGATGTAAAAGAAACAGACACAAAGGTAGAAAAAAGGTGATGTGAGTACTGTGATAGCAGTCGAATATGACATAAAGTGAGGTGATGGTAGTTTGAAGTCAGAAGTCAACTGCCAGTTAATAGACCTTTTTGCCGTATGAGTATACGATACCCAGGGTGCACCACGTGGAGGTAAGTCTATCGCACACCCCAATTGCCATCGTTGTTGGGCTTTAAACGCACTCAAGTGTCGCCAACTATGGTGAACCTATTAACAAAGTTTCATCGGAATCAATGGAGGCCTTTCTTTTAATATCGAAATCTCCAAAATTTAATCTAACCTCCTTCTAGTGAAAGCAGTATTGTGAAACTATATTTTATCTTCTCCAACCCACACTATTGATTACGATTTAAAGGTGCTCATTCTGATTTAATAGGGGTAATTGAAGTGGAAACAGAAAAACGTGGAATTATTTTTTTGCGAACAGTTCTGGATTGTTCAGGTGATTTTTTCGATTTCACCTTGAAGGTAATTTTAGAATCGTGCGTACCTAAAAAAGCAAATTCGTTAGCTAAAATAGCAATTGGTCTTTATTTTAAAGGTCAAGGTTGCAATCCAAATCAAAATATTAAATCAGAAAATTCAAAGAAACAGTTGCTGATGGTAACTATTGAAAAATTCACTATCTCTCAATAATTGGTGATAGTTGTATAGAAGCCATGGCAAATATTCATTTTACTATTCATTTACTTTTACTCATTGATATCACTTGAGGTCATAGGTCAGACCACAGTATTATAAAAACTCCCTTCACCTATTAATACAAACTTAGCTGTTGGAAATGTTCGGTAAAACAAGCAATTTAGAGCAATCTTGTTCTACTGTTTGTTTCCTCGACTTTGAGACAATGACAAATACTGTAAGATTTTTCAGTGGAGCTAACGTACATTCCTACTCATATCAAATGGCCGGCATTATGATAGTTATTATTAGCCTTTTTAGTTGACTACTGGCTTCAAAGAGGGGAGGAACATCAAAGTCACACAAAGTGGAGAGGAGGAACAGAAGAGTGAATCACAGATGTAAATGAGACGGACAAACACAAAGGCAGAGAAAAAGGTAAGATGAGCACTGTGAAGGTGGCCGAATATGACATACAGTGGGATCATGGTAATTTGAAGTCCGAAGCCAACTATCTGGTTATAGACTTTTTTGCCGTATGAGCTTACGCTGCCCATGGTGCATCACGTGGAGGTAAGTCTATCGCACTCTTCAATGCATATTCTCAACTTGGTTGCCAATATTTAAAGCAATTAGCTCGTTGTTTCAAGTCCTATTGAACTGTTTCTATATTTATCCTATGCTTTATTTAGTACCCTCAGTAGGGTCTAAAGCAATAATTTAATTAGTCCGGAGCTTTTTAAATAAAACCTTCTTCTCACTACCGCGTAGTTAAAGGTAAGATTGTTCCTAGCGGAAAGGGAATAAAACATCAGGGGTTAAACAACTTGCCTACCTTTCCCATTTAGAGCATATCTCCTCATACGATTGTTAAAATTTTCTGTCCTGATCTATTAATTGGAGCTACCGCGATAGAGCGATGTCAAAAATAATTAATTAAATTCAGACACCTAATTTCTGGACATTTAATGAGTCATCGTAAATGTACCTATCAGGATTGTCGAACCTTTTCCCTATTTACAATCTTAATTGCAATCCAATGCACCGACGCAACTCAGCAATTTTGCAGGTATTTTGGTAGGCCATGGCTGCTGGACGCTCTTGAAGTGGTAGAAAGGTCTTACGGCGGATCCTAATCTATCAGAAAAGGTGAAGGAAAAGTTATGGCTATCATAAAGCAATTTAAAAAGCCTCAGACGATAAGGGAGAAAAAAAGGCAGGTGATCTGGTAGATGATTTGGGAACTGGTCTGTAAGCTAAAAAGTAGGGATTGCATAGTAAGTGGAGTGAGGTAAAGGTTTGGGCTAAACAATTGTAGTAAAGAGTTTCAGGGTTAAGGGATGCGCGATAGACTTACCTCCACATGGTGCACCCTGGGTAAAGCATACGCATACGGCAAAAGTCTATTAACCGGCAATTGACTTCTGACTTTAAACTATCATGACCCCACTGTATGTCATATTCCACCACTTTCACGGTACTCATCTTATCATTTCCTCTACCTTTGTTTATGTTTATCTAATATTTGTAAATCACTCTTCTGTTCCCCCTCTCCACTTTTGAATACCTTAATGTTTCTCCCCTCTGTGAAGCCTGTAGTCGATTAAAAGGTTAATAATAGCTATTTTAAAGCCTGCTATTTGATATAATAATGATAATAGTTTCAGAATTAATGAAAGTTTGCCATATCTCTAGTTACCTTAAGAGCCATCAAATATCATCTGAACGTAGAAATCGCGGTGACTCCTCTGTGTGCATGCACACTGCAACTTAACCGCAGTTTCAATTGCTCATTTTACTTAGAGCCCATATTCCAGATACGCAACATAAGGTTAAAAAGCGTCCTTTATTGTCAAGTTCTTCGATTTTTGTTCTTCTAAACAGTCGCAGTTGATGTATTATATCAAGATATCACCTAATAAAAATGTGCCCTTTCTAATTCTATTGAGCTTGTTAACAGTATTTACGAATCAAATGACTCAGAAAGACTTTACTTTCATTTATTCTTAGTCATGTCGGTGACCATTAATCGCTTAACGCCCGAATTATTTTGTTGAAAAATGCACCCGACAGCAATCACGCGTGTCTCAAAGCAGACCGCTACCGCCGATGTGATGAGTTTGGGCGGTGAATCAGGCGAAGGCTATAGACTCGTATTGAACATGTTTCAAACTGCAATAGTAGCGCCTTCTGCTTCGAGTCTAGTACCAATGGAGCCTACTTTGAAAGAGCACCGAACGGTCCTAAAGGCGTGAAAGGGCTAAAATATACCATGAACCCTTGCCGGTTTGACTCGTAGTTGCCTTAACTTTAATCCGCCTCTCACCGGTCGATTTGCAATATAACTGTCATTCTGGGGGCGAAATTAGAGATCTTCCACCAGAGTTACCAGGTAGTCCGCATAAATTCCTTTACCTATAAGCCAAAGAATTGGCGCTTTTGGTTGGTCAAATTTATGATTAAGTAGTTTGGTCAGTAGTGTTTAGCGTAAAGCTAACTTGTGTGCAGGCACTAAACACGTTTCGCTTCCTACTTCTGTTTAATATCCTCTGGGTGGAACGCATTTCCATGTCTAATAGGAAGTGACTTGTCACATGAACCGAGCACTAGGAGACGCATAAGTTGTCGTATTACTGTCCTCATGATACCTCTGATACCTTCTGATACCTTGATTCCCTCATTGAAATGCAAGCGTCCCGAGGGGAGCACAGAAATGACATGGAGCAAAAGGTTAGAAGTTCATCAGATTTTGCTTCCTTGTACAAATCACTTTCATGATCCGATCTTCTAAATTTGTAGTAAGTCAAAAGTGAGTCAGTGACTACGAGTTCGATGCCATCCAGAACATGTCCCAATAAGTGGAATTTTAAATTTTCTTTTTCGCATGAAGGACTCAATGTTGCTCACGCGACTCAAGATGTTAGAGAACGCATTCCCCTGCTAATACAGCAGAGGGACTACGTCATTATCGCGGACTCTACTGCGGATGAAAAAGTGTTGTATTTCGACTCGACTTATGTGCCTCCTCTCCGGGTGCATAGCTCAGGCGACGAATGCGAGAAAAGCTCTCACAAAGTATTATTATTATATCAAATGGCAGGCTTCACAGAGGGGAAGGAACATCAAACTGAAAAAAAAGTTGAGAGGGGGGGGGGGAGAACAGAAGACTGTTTCAAAGATGTAAAAGAGAGCATAATGGTAGAAAAAAGGTGAGGAGAGTACTGTGAAAGTAGTCGAATATTGCATATAGTGGGGCTGTGGTAGTTTGAGTCAGAAGTCAACTGCCGATTAAGACTTTTTTGCCGTATGAGTATACGTTGCCCAGGGTGCACCACGTGGAGGTAAGTCTATCGCACACCCCAGCTCTCACAAAGTCATCTGTTATTGTGAAACACTTGGGTGAATTCCCTCTTTCAGTGTGCCACTCGCTTATTTGGAGAGTCGTGGACTAATGCTCTTCTAAATACTTTGCTTCTCAACAGCTGACTGGTAGCGTTATGGACAACGACTCCGACAGACTCCACAATGCAGAAGAGCAGGTTCATGTGAATATTCTTCGCCATCTAACCCAATCCCACAATCCGTAACCTTCCACCCTTGACTCTTAATCAATAGTCTTACCCTATTCTTTGGCCCTTGCTCCAAGTCTAATGGCCCTCTGACTAGCATACTGCAGCTAGTGACTCCCCAGTTCTATCCCGTAAACAACACACCATCGAACCTCAGCTAGACTTCATCCAAATCCCCCCCCTTCAAGCTCATCGTTCCAACTGCCTCACATTCGGGGAGTATAAAGTACTGAAGGAGTAAATTCACCTTCTTCTACATTTTCATTCAGCGCAATTTAAACAATTATTTTGGCAGAAATACTTGATTTTTTCAAACTTCATTTTTTAATACTAAAAATTAAAATTACGGTATATAAAATTTCATATTACGAAACACGTGTTTCTACAAGCCTGTGACACGATCAATGCTGTCAAATTTTAGCGAAATGATTTATTGAAAGTCCAATAATCCATTCATGTGACGTCTAAGTTAACAGGTTTCATAGAATCAATAATTATCTTAATCTAAAATGAAAAGGAAAAAAATTTCGAAAACGAAAAAAAATTATAAAACCCACTTTACTCCAACAGTTCAATAGCTTAGGAATGCCTAATACTCTATAAACCATGACTAGATCATACAGTCTAGCAATCCTTATAACAGACCCCTTGTGACACACATAAATTAATTAGCAAAATAGTTGACTAGCGACTTCAAAATAAGTTTAAACATGAAACGACCTTGAGTAGGCACAACCACCATAGCACACAAATATGGCTCCAGCATTATGTATCAGCAGCTTAACGGCGCGATTAAAATTGACCTCGTAAACAAAACTCCCTCTATAAGTGCATTATCCTTCTACCCCGCATATACACAACAAAAGCTATTTACCGACTACCTTAAAAGCGCAAAAGTACACAAAAATTAAAATAAGTCACTTAGAAAATAAGAGACAAGAAAATTCCATTTAACATTTCATATATTTCATATAATTATTTACAACTCGAGCTTTACAGTATTTCACAGCCTCGGCTTCATTCCGCAATATTTACAATTGCGAACTTGCTTCCGAACAGTTTTCTTGACGGAAGAGAACCAAAAATTAAAGCCGGAGCACTGGTTTCTATTTGAATAATTAGGTTTTTTTACCTGAGAATAGGCGCTTTAAAGCCCCTCCCTTTCTCGATACCGTATGGGTGGGAGACTCCAACTGCTGAGATTGAACTTTCGTTGAGCTCGTTGGCTGGAGGGAACCGAAATTAAACACTGGACCGCCCACGTTCCCTTTTAACTGGTTCGGTTTGGCTGTCTGGCAGCCAACACACTTTATGGCCTCACCTCTATTCGGCACCTTGCATGTAGGACATTCCCACTGTTGTGAAGAGGTTTCTATTGAACTAGACGAAGGAGAGGCACCAAAATTGAAAGTAAATCCACTCTGGCCTTCATTTGACTTAACCTCCGTTGAATCTTTAGAAGCGAGGGAACCGAAACTAAATGATTGAACATTTTGACTTGCACTTGACGAGCTAGTAGAGGGAGCCGGAAAGAAATTGAATGATGGAACACTTTGAACACCTTTGGAACCATTTGGATTCACCGTCTGACAACACACACATTTCTCGACTTCGGCTTTATTCTTGACCATACAAGTGGGACATTCCCACTGTGGAGAATTAGCACTTGATGAGCTAGTCGAAGGAGCAGAGCCAAAATTGAATGTTGGAACACTTTGGCTTCCACTTGATGAGCTAGTCGAAGGAGCTGAACCGAAAGTGAATGTTGGAACACTTTGGACATCTTTGGAACCATTTGGATTCACCGTCTGACAACACACACATTTCTCGACTTCGGCTTTATTCTTGACCATGCAAGTGGGGCATTCCCATTGCGGAGGATTTGCACTTGATGAGCTCGTAGAAGGTGTCGAGCCAAAATTGAATGTTGAAACACTTTGACTTCCACTTGATGAGCTAGTCGAAGGAGCTGAACCGAAAGTGAATGTTGGAACACTTTGGACATCTTTGGAACCATTTGGATTCACCGTCTGACAACACACACATTTCTCGACTTCGGCTTTATTCTTGACCATACAAGTGGGACATTCCCACTGTGGAGGATTAGCACTTGATGAGCTAGTCGAAGGAGCCGAGCCAAAATTGAATGCTGGAACACTTTGACTTCCACTTGACATGCTAGTCGAAGGAGCTGAACCGAAAGTGAATGTTGGAACAGTTTGACTTCCACTTGATGAGCTAGTCGAAGAAGCCGAGCCAAAATTAAATGTTGGAACACTTTGACCACTTTTGGAACCATTTGGATTCACCGTCTGACAACATACGCACTTCTCGACTTCGGCTTTATTCTTAACCATGCAAGTGGGACATTCCCACTGTGGAGGATTTGCACTTGATGAGCTCGTAGAAGGCACCAAGCCGAAATTGGATGTTGGAACAGTTTGACTTCCACTTGATGAGCTCGTAGAAGGTGTCGAGCCAAAATTTAATGTTGGAACACTTTGGCCATCTTTGGAAACATTTGGATTCACCGTCTGACAACATACACATTTCTCGACTTCGGATTTATTCTTGACCATGCAAGTGGGACATTCCCACTGTGGAGGAATTGCACTTGACGAGCTCGTAGAAGATGTCGAGCCAAAATTTAATGTTGGAACACTTTGGCCACCTTTGGAACCATTTGGATTCGCTGTCTGACAACACACGCACTTCTCGACTTCGGCTTTGTTCTTGACCATGCAAGTGGGACATTCCCATTCTGAAATGGAAGAGGAAGTACTTTTGACTGAATTGATGGGGTCCTGTTTTGCAATCATCCTTGGGGCTAAACTTGGCATGTGACAGGATCTGCAAACACTATCTCTATCCGAGTTCTCCATCATGCAGCTCTCACATCTCCACAAATCCACTGGAAGCACAACTATGGAAACGAATCAAGGTCAAACATATCACGAAAAAATACACAATTTAGATGAATTAAAGAATTAACCAACCTTTCTTCGCTGGAGCAGTCATACAATTTTTTTTAATGGGTGAAATCAAAGTTGGAAGAAAAGTCGACTGTTCGACAGACACAGCTTTCTTAAATGCGTATTGAGGTTTGCTGAAGGTAAATACTGGCTTTTCAATAAGTTCGGATTGAAGTTCTTTTGAATTTTCTTCTGGTTTCTTTATACAAATCGGACGTGAGAAAATAAACATAGGACTATTTCCATTATTAGATGTACATTTATCCATATACTGAGGTTTTGAAGCAAATCTAACATTAGGAATCTCTGAAGGAGGCTTCTGAGCAGACTCGTCGGTTTTTCTTGCAGACTTAAGAATGGAAACACCGGGAAGCTTAATACGAGAAGTTGATGCGTTATATTGAGAAGTTTTAGACGAAACATCAACAGTTGGAAATTCCTGATTGTCTTGATCTGCACCGACACTATCAAGATGACTATTAGAAGTAGAAATAACTGTTTGAGAATGCTCAGAAGGTAATTTCGCATACGACGTTGACGGAGTAAATTGTGCTGTTTTGGCTGAGAAGTCAAAAGTTGGCAGTTTCTGGTTATCGATAACAGTTTTAACACTTTCAACATGACTATTAGATGTAGAACAAGACATGGAAGGAGTAGGGTGATTATCTTCTTCAGAAACTGAAGTCGAACCATAAGAGGTTGAAGGAACAGGAAGTTGGAAGCCGATAGATGTAGATTTACGATTGTCCGTACCTAGTTTGGCATTTTCAAGAGAACTATTGGATTGAGAGAAATGAGCAAATGATGTCGAAGGTATAGGTTGAGAATCGGGAGGAGGATTTGGCAATTTAGCATATGAAGTTGATGGAATATGCTGGAACGTTGAATTTGATGCATTAAGGGTTGATATTTTTGGAGTGACAGAAAAAATGTCTGACTTAGAAACATCCAACGTTTCAGATCCGTTTTCGGCAAGGCTAACAACTGGTTGAGAGGCATTCTGGCGTTTAAATTGTCTGTAGCGATTATATGTCGAGAGATAAGGTTGATATCGAGTTGTGTTTTTTGTTAAAGGCTAAAAGCAAATACGTTTAAAACAATAAAAAGCAACAGTTTGCTCAAAAAGATGGGCAAGTCGTGACATCAGTATCAAGCTCAATAACTGTAGATTAAATCCTAACTTAGTCTGAGAAGGGAGATTTATGAGAAAATACCAAATACTAGTGGCTGTCTTTACCACACAAAACAGAAAATGTTGGCAATACTTAGGAAATTAAGAGAAAACCCATTTCAAACTAACAGCCTCAACTTAAATAAAATTCGCAAATTCAAAGTAGTAAACAACATATAGACAGGATAACTTACTGTCGCAAATGGAGAAAATGGATTAGATCGTGGAAGTGGAATTCGATCACTAGAAGCTATTGAAGAGCCATGTCTCTCCAAGCTCATTAGAATACTCTGAGCAGCGTTACTAAGAAAAGCTGGTTGGGGTTTGGGCTTTTCGTTATCTTCATTCTCAATAATGAACTTCATAGGCGTAACGTTCTAAGTAAGTCAAAAGGAGAAATTAAACATCCAAGTTACTGGAATAAATAAAGAGAATAACTCACATCGAATATGCCTCTTTTCTGATTCACTGGCCTAACACTGGCGGCACCACCATATGAAACACGGCCGTGATAGAACGAAGATGTGAATGTACTCTGCTTAGAGGCTGAACTCTGATTGTCGTCTTCACGCATTCTTTTAGATGCTGACTCAGTCCACAATTCCGTATTCTGACGTTTCCTGACAGATGTGTCATTTCTTGGACTGATATAATCAGTTCTATAATCCACTGGAGAAGGTTGGACTAGATACTGGCCGTTTCTTGAACTTCTGGGAAGAAGTGAAGAAACCCCACTAGTAGACACACTTAAATCCGACTCGTCATCTTTGGCATCTAAGTCGACTTCAACATTCATTGGAAGAGTCAAAGTGACTGATGGTAAATTCACAGTACCAACACGACTGACTGACAATCGGTTAATCGGAGGAGAATCCACACTGACAGAAGCCTCGGAAGTACGAGGGCGCTTGGCAGGCCGAACCAGCTCAGCTTCCTCTTCTAATTGTCTCATAGACTCAGGCTTTAATGGAAATTTTAATAACAAACTATCACTCTTACCTGTCTAGATTCAAAAAGAGACGGAATAAACGAAGCTATTGTGTCGGTAATACGAGAAAATAAAGACTGAAATGCATAGGAAGCTTTAAATAAAGGGATAAAATTTTAAGTAAAGCAATGTGAAATTAATTCTTACTCTTCTACGATTACCACGACGATCACGATTAGACGCACTATCGAACGTTCGCTCGCTCATCACTAAAGATAGCTATGCAAGAAGCGCAGACTCGATAATTCGTTTACTTAAACAAATTTCAAAAAAAGCAAAGTTTAAATTTCTTACTTAAAACACAAAAGAAGTTTTAACTTTGATCTGTATAACTTATTTTTCTTATATTATTTTCTTGGTTTAATAGGGATTATTTTTAAAATTTATCGTATGAAATTTAGTGCCTTAGATTTATCAATGAAATAGTATGATTACATTTTAAACTTTTCATTAACAGCTGATGTGATTGAAGCACCATAAAATAGATTATTTCCCATGTTTTCGCTATCTTTAATAAGTCACAATCAATTGAGTTCAAAAGATTTACCATCTTTTTGATTTAATGCCAAATATTGTGTATCTTTTTTAACAAATTATTTGTAGTTATCTCCGACCGTCTGATAACATTGTTTAAAATGGTCTCGTTACTACATTATTGCTCATTTAGCATCATGTGTTTAACGGGAGATCAAGAATTAGGAGTTAATTTTGTAACAAATTTCCCAATCCCATCTTCAGTTATCTTACCAGACTCATTTTTGTTTTGAACTTCTTTTGTCTCTTTGAGTTCTATAGTAATTTCTTTTTGCCTACTGTTCATATTTAAAATTTTAACGCAAACTTCTAACTCTATCAATCTGCTTTCCATTTATAAATACTGAAGTCATAACGATAATTTGATTTACTCCTATTTTATACTACTTTAATGTTTTATTACTTACTAGTTCTTCCCAATATTTATCTGACGGAAAATTACTAAATCACTTCATATGAATTTGATTTTATTCTGAGCATTTTTAGAATTCGTCTTTTAGTAAAAATTAAATTAGTTAATGTCAAAAAACGGGGGTAATCTTTCTTATTAAAAAAAGATAATTTTTCAAACGCAGGTTACATATGTTCCGAAACTGTCTAAATTGGAGATATTGATAATGTTCTTTACTGACATACCACTATCAACTTACTGTTTCGCATTTTAGAATCTTTGTGTCCTATTGGTAGAGTCACAAATGAGTAAGAACACTGAGTTAATCATATGACTGTAAAGCAGTCATTATGAATACTTCAAATGAATTTGATCCGTGTATTAGGGAGGTAACAATATATACATAAAGCACGTTAAATAAACGCTCACGCCACGTCGGCAGTAACAACTGTCAATCTGGCATTAAATGAACTTTCAAGCGAAACATCTTTAATGAACTTTGTGGTAACATTTTCCCGAAAATGTTACTTGGTGTGATAAATGGGTAACTTTGTCTCTCATAGTTAGGACATTTTGGGTTTCAACCAACACGTTACGAATGGATGAAACCGAAGATCATGTTTCCTCTTTCCTAATCTTCTTCACCATTCGATTTTTCTTCTTTTTCAGTTTATATTTTTGGCAAATTTGGTATGCTCCTAACTGTTTATACTCCTAGAACTCCAGTTTCTTCATGCTCATGACTACCTAATATTATTTCTTTTGATCATAATCACCAGCGCACTTTGGATAGGTTGATATAAAGATGAACAGATATGACCGCTTACTAAGCTGTTCTCTTCGAGTATTATGTCAACATATTCACCCGTAATCTAAATTAATTTGTGCCAATAGGATACCCTTATTGATAATTCAACTTAGAATGAAAGGCGTTCAGACCTATAAGAGATGGAAATATGGACCATTGAGTATAAAGGATTCAAATCGAAGACAATCAAGCTAAATTTGGAACAAATCTTTCAAAAGCATGATTCATTAGTGGAGTTTATCAGAAGCCAACTGCCGATTAATAGACTTTTTTGCCGTAAGAGTATACGTTGCCCAGGGTGCACCACGTGGAGGTAAGTCTATTGCACACCCTTGGTTTATAGAGTATTAATGCATATGTTCCATAAATACTGGTGCAACAAATGTTAATTTAAGACTTACAACTCTCGTCAAAAGACCCGTTTTAGTGGGTGCTTATCTGACAGTCAACACCACTTGCCATAACTAGGTTTGTACGACACTTTCCAGTCTTCGTACACACTACACTTACTATATTTTCCGTTTTTTATCTTTTCACCCATTTTTATTCTATTATTCTCTTGACCTCTGTTTTGTCAAGACCTTATTTTCTACAAAAACCGATTTAATGGGGAATACACTTTCTTCAAATCTGTTGATTGGGCTTTTAATCTCTATAATAGATTATCATACCTAATTGTTAGTGTACTTAAACGATCTTTTTTTTGATTTTATACATTTTCTTGTTTCATTTTTTTATTTATTCATTGCGTTAACAACCAATTACTAAATGTTTAGATGAGATCAAGAATGTACACACTTAAATATAAAATAATCGGGGTGTACGATAGACCTACCTCCACGTGGTGCACTCTGGGCAACGTATAATCATGCGGCGAAAAGGTCTATTAACCGAAATTTGACTTCTGACTTCAAAATACCATGACCTGACTCCATATTATATTCCATCATTTCTACAGTACTCACTTCACCTTTTTTCTACCTTTGTGTCTGTCCCATTTACATATTTGAAACGTTCTTCTGTTCCTTTCCCCGCCCTCTCGACTTTCTTTCACTTTGATGTTCCTTCCCCTCTGTGAAGCCTGAAGTCAACCAAGGGACTAATGATAACTATCAAAACGCCTGCCACTTGATATTGATAAATAAATATAAAATAACCAATGTTGCTTCTGACGGGCACTCATCATTCATTAAGATCAGGCTTCAGTAGAGTACTAAACTCTCAAGTATTTCAATCTGAGGATTCCTAAAACCAAAATTTCATTGGCCAATACCAAATCTACGAAAAAATCGCCATTTTTCAATGCTAAAATTACTAATTTCCAGGTGTCCTCAACTGATCACTTATTTTTGTTATATTTTGAACTGTTTTTTTAGATTTAATCGTTGTTGGCGATAAGTAAATTATATGGAATTTCACCACAAATCTTCACTGTGAGAAGTAGTGGAATTCACAGAGTACCAAACAATGGGACATAAGTCCAGAGAATTGTGTAAAAAGAGGTTGCGTAGAATAAGAAAAAAAATTAGCAAGAATACAGTAGGGGTATTGACAGAGGGTATGTATTATGTAGGTTAAACAGAGGAATGCATTACAGGCAACCACTGAGAGGCATAATAACACGCCGATATTCAGTGATTATATACACTATTTAATAAGGAATAGACATTGAAAGCTTATGCATGATTAGAAGGCTAGACATGGGCTATTAAGGGCTTAGGAAAGAAATTGAACATGATCAAATGAATTGACTGAACACCAATGAGGAAGCGGGGGTATGAAAACAACACGAAAGCATGAACCTGGAGTAATTGGACTTTCAGAATGACCCGAATTGGTGTTTTTTAACATTGCAAGAAGAAATAATAACTGCTTTTTCCAGCTCTCAGTATTTCCTTTACTCTTGAAAACGAAAGTTACTTCTCATTTCCACGCTGATAAAAGACAGTTTTTTACAATTATGCCTATTCGTTTAAGCCTATTCCACTTTCTTTAGCTAACGCGTCTTTACCATAGCATTCTGTACTAAGTTTACTGGATCGCTTTTATCTTCTTGGCTACTTAAGGAAACAGTATGGATAAACTAGGGATAAATGGGGTTAAGCCTGCAGTAAATTACTTACTTTAATTCACAGCAAGTTCAGTGTTCTATGGGAGTCACAATTACCTGCATTTTCTTTTACATTCTTTTATATCCAAATTCCCCATTTCTTGACATTGGATTAAGGTCCCTATTTACACGTGGTAAGGCTTACACATCTGCCCCCTAGAACATAAATCGCCAGCAAAATGTTATCCTGTATCCTCTGTGACCCTCTTTGTAACTTCCAATACGCAACACATTCAAATGCAATTCATCTTTGAGCTGCAGTGAGTAATTTATATTCAAGTGCAATTCCGTTTGCATTTTAAGACAAGACAAAATAACTGTTCAATTTGCGGTTGTTGTTGAAGTTGAAGATGATGATAAGGAGGAAAACGTTTGCGCAGATGGGAGAGAAAGTGAAGATGATGGTGGAAGGAAAATTCCCTGCGTAATCTTCTCCATGTACTCTCTCAACTGCGCAGTCCAAACGGAAAGCACACTTCCACCTTGCGGTAAACAAGGTGGCCACTGAGGTGGCTGTGGCGATGTCCCATTCAACCACCACAGCTCTCCCGTATCTCTTCCATTACATCCTAGTGGCGCCATTCGTTGAGCCACAAGTGATGCGAAAATGGCTTTAGGCGGAGGACCTATTGATAGAATATCGATCGGCATATCGGGTGTTTTGGGCTTAACAGCACCATTAGTTCCGGGTGGTTGACAAGGCGAAGGTAGAGTAAGGGGAGTCGGCTTCTTTGTTCTATTGCCCCCATTAAACATCGCTTTGATGTCCTCCCAGGCAAAGAGAAGGGTGTCTGGAGGGTTGGGGTCGGCTAAAAGTAGATGGCGTCTCCATGCATTGAAATTTGCGGCATCCGGATGGCGATATGTAGTAAGATTCGGTTGAACGCCGGTCTCTGTTGCACTATGACAGTGGAAGATAAATTTGTTGGGGGAGAAAAATGCCTTCAAATTGAAAATAAACTATGTTATTCTTTGCCCTTTGTTCGTTGGCGCAAACGAATGTAAATGCTACAAGAATAGGGTGCTACATTGCAATTTGCGTTTGTGTGCAACTGACAAAAGAATAAACAAATTGTCATGGAATAATAACTTTTCGTCATGAAGTGATAAAATGCCCTTGTAACTGAGTGGATTCTGCAAAGTTGACCACTATAGGATAAAAATTTGACGATATGAAGTTTTATGTTTTCAGTCTCAATTTTTAATACAAATTTTACTTGAGGACACTTTAATAGAGCCAGTTCCCTACAAAACGAACATTTTTGTAAGAAAATGAAAATTGACTGACTGAGCAAAAGATACACCTTGAGCTTATTCCTTTATTCCAGGTACTCTTATTTGTCCTACTTTTGAGATAATATAATTGTTTTAATGGGAAAAATTGTAGCATGGGTGAAGCTATGGCTAAATGGCTATAGTAAATTCAATACCGCTTGGTCCTATTATTCAATCACTTGCCAAAGTATATGAGTTCTGATTATAAATAACGCTAAAACAAACTTAGGCCATTTCAACTATTCTATTAGTAAATTACAGTCGTGCCTTCCTTTGCCTAAACGTTGAATTTTGATACATGATCAATTTGATCTGCACAAGCATACTGTGTACAAAATGGCACCATTGAAGAGTGGTCGAATGCCAATGTCCAATGGTATAACCCTGCGCATTCAGAGAAGTGTGCTTCCTTTTGCTAACAAATGAACTAAATCCGTTATTTAACCCTTCAGACGGTAAAATACTTTCATATGAAACATGTGTTTCGAGGATACTTTCCGATAGTCTCACTGAAAGTAATTTTTTGCAGTCACCCGCGCCTGCCAATAAATTGGATTGGCTCCGACATAGAGGAAAATGTGAAGTCATTGTAAGGTCAATGGCCCCTATGAAAGAATGAGTATATCTGTGGCCGAATGGAATGATTATGTATGGGGATTAAGATAATCACTAAATTATTAAGATTATTTAACTGAAACTCATTGTGCGAATTCGATAAAATGAATAGCAACGTAGAAAAGTTTGAAGGAATTAAACTAATCTGAAACGTGACAAATGGGTTTAGAGCAGAGGGGGGTTATTGATTCTATTTAGTATGGCTTCACCTTATCATTTATACATAAAACCGCCATTTATTTCTCAACTTTAAGGTTCTAAATGAGTAATGCATTGGAATTCCCATCAGTAAGACCATAGTTACGAAACCGAGTTTCTGAAGTTAAACTGAACAGATAAATTTTTATGATAAATATTCAGTCTTACATGACAAAATGCACACTGGACGCACTTGGCTCGAGAGCTATTGTATCTTGCTGGCACAAAGAAGCCAGTACAGCCCCATCCACAATGATGTATCACTTCAAAGGCAAAATTTTCAGGCAGTCTCGGTTTTGCAGTAGGAAGATAGTGCTGTAGAAACGATTCAACTAGGCGCTGCGCCTCTCTCTTTGTTATAGTTCCACAACGTCGCGAACTAAGAGGCATCGCACCAACTCGTCTAAGAAGATCCAATTGTGGAGGACTACATTGAACGCAAGTGATTCCAAGAGCTACTCGGCGGTTGTGAATTTCGTTGTAGGTAAAGTCACGAAGTAGTCGGGTGGAAATCTGTGCAAGGCAGAGACGTTCTTCTCCATTGAGGATTAAACAGGCCAAGGGTTCTCCAAAAAGGTGAAAAGTGGAAAGTGATGGTTCACTAGAATTTATGTCAGGAGTTGTTGAAGAAAGTAGGGCGTTTATTGAATGTGAAAGGATTTTATTCTTCGTTGGAACATTCTTCATTGTATAATACCTGCTAGAAAAATAGTATAAGACATGAATTGGCGAATGAATTCGAACTATATCATCTTTATTATTTTAAATATGCAATGTATTTGTTTATAGACACTCATGATTTCTATAGCTCCTGATTTTCAAAAATAACTTCAGATTTACCTCCGTAAAACGAATATGCAAAACACTGAACATTCCAAATTTGCGGAATAAGTAGTCTAGCTGACCAATAAGATTTCAGGGGAAATTTCTGTAGCCAATAGGGGATGTGAACATAGCCAATTCTGAAATGTGATTGGACTACAGGAGCGCACAAGTGCCCATGGAGGCATTAATTGCATTTTTCTGAGAGCAGAGCCTGAATATATATCTCTAAAAAATAGAAGATTAGTTAATTTAAATGATAAAAGTTAATAATTTTTTTCATTGCTGAATGATTATAGCCTGGATATTAAGATTAGATTAATGATTTTTCTTTGTGAAATTTTTATCGTAAATTTGAAACTCTGAGTTACTCATAAATTTACTCAACCAAAATGAAAACTTGCCAAGTAGTATTACAGTTTTAATACTCTGATCAAGAGCTTTCACTTAAAGCCTAGAAGCGAAGCTAAAAATATAGCAAAGATGTAGGGATTGAAAGTATTAAGTAAGAATACTTTCCTGGGCTCAACTATTAGGGCACCCAATTTATCTCTTTAGACCTGATTGCATTCAGTTAAATTGGATTTTAATACTAAAAGAATCTATTTAACGAGGGAAAATTGTTTAGTATTAGGAGTGGTGAATTTCGCTTCAGTTCACATTCGTAACAAACTTGACCTTTCTTTATTTTGTGGGACGCGTTATCGCTTTGTGCGTCATCGTATGCCTGCATGTCTGCTCGCCAGGATTGGGAGGTGCGGCCGTACAACTCTGTGTGCAGCGACCGTACAAACAGTGGCCAATCATCAACCTCTTTGTTTAACCTAATCCCACATCCTGATCATGAGTAGCTCCCTGCGTGCACACTTTACCCGCAATAAACGTACTGAAAAAACGTGCTCCGTGCTACACGTCTGTTTCCCCTATAGCTGGGCTATAGGTAACTGGTTCTGGGAGTCTAGCTAGATGTTGGAGAATCTGCCACAGAAATTTCTGAGTCGGT